ACATTCTGTGTGCCGCTCTTAGAGGCTCCACCAAGAGCCATCTCTCCACATGGTCACACGTTCACAGTTTGATTCCTTCTTAGAAGTGTGGCAGCCAGCAAGCTAATTAAGGATCTGATCCCTCCCAGGGACAGGTACTTGGCTTTGTTAACATACAAGTGATCCTCTGGAGTCCATACCTCCCAAGGATGGGCACCTGGCTTTTCTAACATTTAAATGATTATTTTTATAGTAAAGGAATTACTTGTTTAATCAATTTAATCTGCATTTAGAAGCAATGTGTAATTTCTGCTTGTGTTACGTATACCAGTTTAGATGTACTGCAAGTACATCTAAATTTTACATGTGTTGCATTTTATGTAACACATAGATCTGCATCTGAAAAGTGAAAAGCTGTGCATTTCTTTTCTCTGTGCCTGTCAACTGCAGAAACAAAAAATCTGTCACCAGCTGCCATGCTTTTTGCAGGTATTTCTACATGAGCCCTGGCTGCAACTGCTTGAGAACTTACTGCCTCTTTGCCAAAGCTACTGGCTACTGTCCCCATAGCAGAGTTGGCAGAATTTAACTTTTGCCCACACCTGTTGATGATTTGCTGTAAAGTCCAGCTGCTTAAAATGCTGGCGTAGGTAAGAAAATGTCCCAGGCTCTCCACTGAAGTGGCTGAGTTGTCAGAGGGAGTGCCAAGTACAGTAAGTTGTGAAAGGAAGGTGAGCAGGTAACAGCCAACAGCTCTGTCACATTGATAGTCAAGTGCAAAATTAAGCAGTGTGGCTTTGAGTTTTCATTCAGTTAAAGTCACAGATTCATGCAGTGCATTGTAGGTGGAGATCAGAGTTTCATCGCTAGTGTAAAAGCAGTTACATGGCTTCCTTGTTACTGCTGATATTGAAAATGATTCAGCTCACTGATTACCCCTTTGGTTTCTCCCAAAGGGCAGTTCTGGAAAGGTCAGAGCTGTTTTGGTACCAGATTTCTGCTTATGCTACACTTAACATGACTGCCACCTGTCAGCAGCTGACATATGCTTCAGATCCAGTGCATGGCTCACACATCTCAAAATCTGTGCATCATATCTTTTCTTACAAGTACCATCTCACTATAGTAGTTCAAAAGAACATGTTCCATCTCCTGAATAAACCAGTTGAGCCTGCCTGGAGAACACCATGTAGGTGGGGTTCAGTCTTTGCTGCCCAGTTGGCAAATACAGTTTTGTCTATGCTAGGTTATTAGACACAGTTTAATCATACTGTTTTAGTTCTTGATTGTTTTCTAGTCTGCTGAAGTGGTTTGTTTTTAGCCTTGGTTGCAGCCAACATTCTCCCACTTGTCACCTCCCAGAAAGCAATCAAACTGATCACTAAGGTAATGTGTTAGTTTAAGGACATCTAGGAGCTAGTCTGCTACTAACTGTGGAGTACTCTTGTTTGCCAGCTGTTGCAGAAATCATCAGAGAATGAGGCCAGGAGTGTATCTGTGTACCTTTTGAAATCTGTGCTGTCTCTGACACAAGCTTAAATGTGTTCAGGTATTTCAGTCTAAAGTACCAAGACATTGCATTTTTGGAATGAGAAGACAGCCAAGTACTGAATGTCATTCGAACATTGAAACATTGAAATGAAGAATTGCAGATAGTGGTATAGATGCTGACCCAGTACATGGTATAGAACAATGCTTAAACTGTATGATGCTGTTGTCTGGCCAGGGTAAAAATTAAACCTGTCCAATAATAAATGCATGCTAAGATAGCCAGCTCCCATTTGCTACACTCTTAATAAAAGAGGTTAAAGAAATTAATTTATGTTTATTTTTTCTTCTAAAGAAAATCTAGGTACTTTAGATACTATAGATGCTTTAGATACTTTTAAATACTAGGTGCACATCTAGGTACTTTAAGCCTAGAATCATCAGTTTTGGTAAGCTTTTTTATTCAAACTATTTTTGAACAAAAAAATACTAAGCTGCAAAACTTTGTTATTTGAGTTTAATTTAGGAGAATTTGAGTTTAATTTAAGAGAAATTACACCTTTCATCCTTTACACTTAGAAGAAAAAATGTATTTTAAAGTTGTATGTCTTAACCAGCGTGTAAGATGAACTATCAAGAACTATCAGCTGGTGATAAGCAGAAGTTAGATGGTAGGTTCCTAAAGCCCAGAGATGAAGTTAGAGTTTTCATCACAGTGACTGCAGAAGCACAACTGAGCAGGCTGAACTTAGGAGCATGAGGTAGGGAAGAGAGCTATAAACTGAACAAGGCAATGTTGCTCTTAGGCAACATTTATTTGTGGACTTACAGCCCAAACACAGCAATTAGTTAGTTATGCAAGTGCAAGCTTTAGCTGGAGGAGCTTGAGTAGGATTACTTTAAATTCAATCAATTAATTTAGAAATAATTACTAAATAGTTCCCATGTTTCTGGAAAAAAATAGTTTGAGGTATGATTTGGCATTTACATTGATGCAAAATATGTATGCCTGTGAAGATGTGTTTTGTAAAAATAAGCTGAAGTTCAGAAAAATAGAAAAATATTAGAAAAATTTAGAAAAATATTTTTAAAAATTTAAAAAATATTTTTAAAAATCTTCAGCATGGTCTTGTGTTTATTTTGCTTTACCTATGAGATGTTGCATCTGAAATTCTTTCAGGATGCAACAAATTCTTTCAAGGATTATCAAAAAACATCTTAATATTGACTTATTGTTAATCACAGCTGGGAACACTTCACTGGAAAGTTATGAATAGGAGTCAGAGACTATGACTTCTTTCAGCCCTTGGAAAGGAGTGAATGTTGCATAGTCTATATCTGCTGCATCTGATTTCCAAACTACCTGGCATACAGTATGGTCTGACCCAAGAATTAGAGATGTATTTATTTTTAATTCCTATTAGATGTATCCTACACGTGTGCTATGTCATTGTTTGAAAACCCAAGCTGATGAAATGGTAAAGTGAAAGTACACATCTATATGCATTCATTAACATCCTTTGAAACCACTTACTGAAGAATGACCCCATCTCTTTGGGACTGTATTTTAATTTAGTCTAGGATAGTCTGATTTGCTGTATAAATATATATATATATATATATATATATTTATGCGCATCTTTTATAAGTTGAGAAGAAATATGACAAATGCAGAAAGCATGTTAACTAAAATAAATTACTTCAGTCCCTCCAATGTGAGACAATGTTTTTATAATTAAACTACAAATACGCAATCATGAGTCACTCTGATGGTACATTATGTTACTCTGAATTGCAGATATGACTAAGAAAATAAGTTTTGGTATTACTACTACATACAGGGTTATAAACTACTGAAGTTCAACTCTTAAGTATTTTCGGAGGACATGGTAATATGCAGGCACGCTCTCAGTGCTGTTCAGTGTGAGATTTATGGAGCTCTCATGTCAAGAATCGATTGTGTTGAAAAATCTGAATTATTGTTAAGATTCTTCCAGAACATTCAAACTCCTGTAGTCTGTAGCTTTGAATTTTGTCTGATTTTTGTCTGAATTCTTTAGTAATCTACAATAACTGATCTGGTTCTCCTCTCTCCCTTTATGCATGCAAATCTGTACTAGAGCTCTTTGAAAAAACTGTTTTATTCAGGACCTCATAGATGTTGTGAGGGTCTGGTAATACTTCAGCAACAGAATTTTCATTCTGATACTGATTTGTTATTTGTGGATTTTCTGTTTCACAAAGACTGTACCAGTATCTAATGCTGATATGCTTATATTCTCTTCAGTATTGTTGCTGTTATTAGTAGTTATCCCTCCAAAGTCAAAGAAATTTTTGTAATTGATTAATACAAAATCTAAACTTCGGTATTTTGTTTTGTTTTGTTGTTGCCTGGGCAAGTTTTTATGCATTGAAAAATTATAAATTCAGTTGTGGGGGAGTTAATTTAAAATCGATTTGAACAATTTTTTATCCTGCCCCAGGTTCATAAGTAGCAGCGTTAGTACAATTGTAATCTGAGGTCTTAGTTCAGTGGGTTTTTAATTTAAAATAGTGCAGCTGTGGTCAAAAGTGTTAGTTTTAAGCCAAGTTTTGATACTGAAAACCACATCCCATGATACACAAAAGTAGCTAGGTTGTCAGTAAAGATCAAGAGGTTTACAGTCGGTCAGCTTGTTATGAGCATCTGTAGTGTGATTTTCTTCTTTCCTCATCGCCTTTCTTTGTGTTTAGGTAGAAATGATTTCTCTCTTCTTGAACAAAATGTTTAAGATTTTGTCCAACCTAAAACTTGTATTTTTCTAACATCTTCCATATTAATTCCCACTTCAGTGAGACTTACTAATAAGGCCGAAGATGATCAGCTTGAGGCTTTCCTGGCACTGAATACAGCTAACAAACAGATTATTTTGACTCTAGATTATGAAGATATGGTCAAACTACTGAGAATTTGCTGAAAAGGGAAAGTATCTAATGGGGAAGATTTCTAATCAACAGTTTAAAAAAAAATTCATTAGTTTAGTCTGCTACTCAAAAAAATAAAAAGCATGATCTCAATCAATTTAAGATGGAACAGTAGGACTTAAAGCATTCCCTTGTTGATCTTCTGTGTGCCTACTTTAAGCGTTTTCCATGCAAGCTCTTCCTTTTGCATAACTGTAATGGTGAAAGGAAGTCCAAAGTGACTAATAGGAAAACTTGAGAAACACTCCCTGTTCCTGGGAAAATTATTCAGTACATTTGGGAAGATATGTTAAATAGAAAAAGACAAGACAAGACAGTTCAGTGCCTGAAATAAAATCCAGCAGAGCAAACTCTAGCCGTATTTTTCAAAATGGGTTTTCACAAAAGTGGTTTTCCTGTAATACAGTTTACCGATGGAAGGGGGAAAAAAGAAAAAAGAAAACTTGGATCTGTTTTCTACACAAAAATAAATAAATCATGGGTACTCAAATCTTGCAATATGTATCATAATTGCAAATCATAACTATGTTCTTTCACTGCATTTGAGCCATGTTGTACTTGTTTTGTAGGATGTCGCATGTACTTCAGTTTGAAGATAGAAGCAGAAAGGTGAAAGATGCAAGCATGCAGGATGAAGACACTTTTGAGATCTATGACCCACGGAATCCTGTAACTAAGAGGAGAAGAGAAGAAAGCAAGAAGATAATGAGAGAAAAAAAGGAAAGGAGATAAAATGTATGTAATCCTAGCCAGAGCTGCCTTGAAAAGTGACTGCAATAAAGCACTGGCTCTTTTGTAAGCTGTAGCTCCTAAAAATATCACTTGACAAGTGTGAAAAGGAATCTCTCAAGAACCTGTTGTGTGGTTTTGAATCTGAGCTATCATTTGTTTCTTAAGTTGTGCAGTAAACTGCTCTCAGTGCATTCATTATCCAAGCTTGCTAAAGTTTTTTATGTACTTAATAAAACAGCTGACTTCAGTTTGATCTGCACTTTAATTATGATAATCACCATCAAGAAGTTTTCAATATAATGAATGAGAATTTGTCTCAGTAAGGATGGAGTTTTCTCAGTAAGGATGAAAATTCCATCTGCAGGCTTTTGAGATATCCTGAAAGTATAATTTTATTTATTTTTATTATTTTTTTGAGAAGGCATATAAACATTACAGCAGTAACCACTGACTTCCTGAGCCACTGTCATTGATTTAAAATGATGCAATTGCAGGATTGCTTAGAATGTTTCCAGCTTTCTTAAACAAACTAAGTTTTATCTGAGGATTTGATTAATTTTTCTTACTTTTGAAATACAGATTCCATTTCATATCACAGCTTGGGATACACAATTTGAGGAGTATTATTTCACTAACAGTACCACATTAAGCAACCATTATAAGTTTAGATTTCTTTTCATTAAACTGCTACAATACTAGAAACCTCCTACTGGGAGAATTTTCACTGTAAAGTAGCTGGTAATTAAGGTTGCTTTGTTAATTAGTCCAGTACAAAAATTAAAGATCTAATCAGTCTCATTAAAAATGTAACCCTGTTTTTAACAATTTTTTTACCATCTAAAAATGAACAGCTTTTGAGGTTTCCAGAAGATCGCATACTTCCCACAGAATTCCCCCTCCCTCCTCCTCTGGGTGCTAATACCTTTTGCAGAAAATAAGGATTTCCACTGCTACTTCTTTACAGAATTTTCTGATGCCACAGTAAGCTTGGAGAGAGACCATATGGGCAATAGCTAAAGAAGAGGGACACAAAGTGAGCAAGGTCATTAAAAAGTGTGACCAAAAGAGTGTTTTGCTGATGTTGTTTTTAGAACACATTCAGTAAGGTATGGTGTCTTTATCAAGCTGCCACTGCCAAATTTCTTGATAGGGTCTGAGGTGTGAGGTACATAAACCTGCATTGGTGGGTTAATATGGCCCAAATGTCAGAGGTTAGATTAATGCACACTATTGCTTTAATGTGCAGCGTAATCAGTGAGATAAAAAGAAAAGTTGGAGGTGTGACATGATATCCTGTATAAAGCTGTCATTATCCTCTTCTTAGGCTGAGTGAATTATACTGTACCATGGTGTAAAGAAGTCAAGAGGGGTTACATTCTTAAACACTGCCATTTACAACCTACGAAGTCAAAGCTATTTAATTAAGTAATTTTCTACCAGGCTTTCACCATCTTCCAGGAATATCATACATGTACATGTATGTCACATGCTATGCTATCTCGATTCATTGCTTTGCTTGTAGAAAAAATGCAAGTTTTAAAATAGTTGTTAGAGGAAATTAGTATATCAGATCCCCACTCTGATGGGATGGGAGAAGAGAAGGAGGATACGTGTATATAAGCATGCATGTTGGCAGAGGAGGTCAGGACAGGGAAAGTGAGGTCTAGATCCAGAAAGAAACTTGAGTGCCAGTTCCAGGAGATAGCAACTGCTCCTGTAATAGGAAAATGTTCTAATTAAATAATATTCCTGTAAGCTGAAGTAGGATGTGTGAGGCAATGAACAGACAAGTTGACTAACAACCTGTTTAGCTGAATGGTAGTTTTTTTGCCAACTCCTGTGGCAGGTCTGAATGTACTGTATTTGATGATTCACATTCTTAAACGCTATGCAAGCACAGGGTTTTAAAAGTTTAACTCAGGGTTTAGAGTAGGAAGAGGTCTGAAAGGCTAGTCCTTGCAGATGCAGGACTGTGATAACATCGCAAGAACAATGAAGTAATTTAATGCCGACGTCTTCTAGGTAGGTGAAGTGTGTATTGAAAATCAGTATACTTTTTTTCTAGAGATACTTTACCTTATATTATTAATGGTACAGTTGAAACCGAATGTGTTACCCGTTAAAGCTAATTTTAAGCATTACTGTATTACACTTTGTTCTAGAAGAACACAAAGGCCAGACACAGTGCAAGGATGCTTACCCAAGCAGCAGTCTTTCCTGTGTCTGAATTAATATTGCTTCAGGTGTAAAGGTCATTTACTGAATTAAGCCCAGGCTTGCAGAAGTAAGCTAACAACCACTGAGACTGGCTATCTGGATGCAAAAGAGAAAAGCCTTTTGGAAAGGCAATGGGTTTTAGTTTCAGTTTCGTTAAATAAGAGATAGGACCAACTTTCCTGGCAGTTTGCATTTTGCTCTGTACCAAACCCATATGTAAGGGTGAAGATTAAATCCTTCAGTTTTCTTCTGATTATGAATGGCAAAATCAAACTGAAGCTGAATCTGTTTCAGTTCAACAAGACAATAGGGATTTGTAGTTATTCTTTCCCGTGTATTTTTGCTTTCATTGATGATATTTGTAACCTTTGAAACTAGTTTGAGAAGCCTACAAGCAAAGCACTCCTAGCTCATCACCATAATCTGCTGCAGGCAAAAACCAACATAGGTGCTACAGACTATTTGGAGCAAAATAGACAAACCAGGTATGTAGTCTACCATGGCAGTTCCTCAGTAAGCTTGCCTCTGAAAGGCAGACTTGTTTCTAGTCACTTAAGCTAATTTCTCAGATCATCTCTAGCAGGCTGATATTTAACACAGTCCATCAGAAGAAGAACAAATTAACTATGCTGATATCTTCTTGATAGGTGAAATGTGTATTGAAAATTACTATACATTAGTATATTAGCTGATAATAAGGATTTCTCATAGAAAATGTTATAGTGTTTTGGATCTCTGTGATCCCAAAGGATCCTCCATCATCCACATTGTGTGTCTTTTCAGTCATGGCTGTTATATATATATACAAGTTGTGTTATCAATACCTCCCTTTCTCCACTTGCAAACTTGCTAGACACCATCGTTATATAACACCAGATGTACAGAATAAAAGGATAAATTGAGTGCAACAGAAGAATAGACATCTACTTGTTTGCTTTTTATTACCTTCCAGAAGGTGACAGGGAAAGTAATAATGCATACATGTTAAGCACTTCAGGTGTCCTAAAATCACTTAAGGTGGCTGGATTAGCTAGTTCCAAAAGCATCAGAAGACCTGAAATGGGATCTCTTCACTCATAACTTCATGGAATGGAATGGAATGGAATGGAATGGAATGGAATGGAATGGAATGGAATGGAACAGTTGGAAGAGTCCTTCAAAGGACTGACAGCTTGTTTCATTGCCCAGGTAACAGCAAAAACCTACAAAACTGGTAGAGATGTTTTCAGCCAGTCGTGGAACCCAAGAATCTAGATCTTGTTCAACCAATTTCATCTCTGCTGTTTTATAAAGATGTCTCATGAGCACACCGAGCCACATTCTCCTTAATTGTGTGCTGTTATTCTAATGCTACCAGCCCAAATCAGCGCTGCATCATACTGTGCCACTTCCCAGTTGTACAGCTGGTACTAAGCCTCACACCAAATTCTTCTTCCCAGCCCAACATTGGCATTGGAAAAACAGTTTGCCATGCCACAAGAACAGTCTACATTCAAGCTTTTTCTACACTGAAAAGGTAAGTTTCAAAGCCTTTTGCTCCTTTTAGGAAGACTTCATGTGTCAGTGGCTTCTCCAGGTGAAGATCAAAGTCTGCACAGACCAATTACCCTGGAGACATGGGTCCACTTTAAGTTGATGGAGGACAACTTAGAAGTGCCAGTCCCTGGATGTTTAATGAAGATATTTGGACTACTTGTGCACTAGGCCACAGAGGTTGGGCATAGAATCTTTTGCAAGTAGAATTCATCATTAGGGAACACCAAAGAGAAACGCTACAAATAAATCAATTACAGCAGGTTTTATCATTTTTATGTGATAAAAATATTTTAAAATATTTATTTCCGAGAAACATCTACTTTCTAACAATAATTGCAAGGAGTGTTTGAAGTGATACTAGTCTTGAGGGCTAATCATCTTAGCACAGTATTTCACAATGTTCGTGTAATACACTTCTCAGCTAAATTGAAATTTCCATACATTTACTTTGCTACTAACACAGGTCCATGTCAACAAACAGTAACTCAGACAAAGTTTATGAGACAAATAGACCTTCCAGTCCTGCCTACCTTCAGTACAATATGGCCTCTCATTTCATTAAAGGGAATTTAATAGTCCTAAATGAAAATAAAGGGGAGAAAAAAGGTCCTACACCTGCATGCAGACATTTTGCTGTAAACCTGAAGTTCTTGTTTCCAGACCAGCTGTATTTCAGGAAGATAATTGTCCTTCTAGGCCACATCTGTTAACAGCAAGATCTTAAAGCACAGCTTAAAGCCTTGCCTCAGGAATCCTGATGGTGAAGCCAACAGCTAGTACAACGTGCCCTTTCTGCTTTGGAGTGTACTGGAAAAAAAAAAAAAGGGGTGGGGGGGTTAAAAAAGGGAAGAAAAAAAAAAAAACACAAATAAAAATAAAAGTGGTTTATTTCTGCCAAATATTCACTATACCTATGCTGTTATGCTGTCTACAATGTCACCTTATGTAGTTTTCCCTCCTGGCTTGCAGCATGAGCAGGTCTGGGGAGAAGTTGTTCCCTTACTGTCTCCTTCCTGCAATAGAAAGGTGACTGAACTCTAATGGTTAAAAAAACTGCACACCAATGTCTGCTTTTGTCTAGAGGACCTCAAGTTTGCAGGAGACAGAGTTATGTTCTGGCAACATAAAAACTAGCCTCAGACAGAATGGATAGCTCCAGACTCTGCCTCATTCTGGCAGATTTGTGTGTGTCTGTCGTTACTTAAATTATGACAGACAAATTGGGCTGTTAGAAGATGAGGGGACTCCTACACGTGCTTTCTTAGTACAAGATGTAGAGTCCTGCTTACATCTTTCACTGTAACAAAACATGAGCTGATCAGACTGTCCTGCTGAAGTATGTGTAGTACATAGGATGTAAAGGGAAAAATGAGAACACATCTCTGTGTTTCTTCTCCTCGTGTAGAGCATTAGACCAACCAGAAATATCTACCAAATGTCACCAGAGGCTTGTCACCTTATACAGCTAGCACAAACATTGAAAAGAGATCATAGA